GAAGTATATTTTATGGTTGTATAGGAAGTATATTTTATGGTTGTATAGGAAGTATATTTTATGTTTGTTTATGAAGTATATTTTACGGTTGTATAGGAAGTATATTTTATGGTTGTATAGGAAGTATATTTAATGGTTGTATAGGAAGTATATTTTATGGTTGTATATGAAGTATATTTTATGGTTGTATAGGAAGTATATTTTATGGTTGTATAGGAAGTGTATTTTAAATGTTTTCAAAATAAGAACTGCAGTCATCTAATGCCAGATGATTTTTGGAGTAACACTGACCTCCTCATCCGCACCCAGAGCTATGTAGGATGTGATCCCTCCCTGGTCAGGCTCCCACCCTAGACAAGAAACAAATGTTGGTCACTGAACAAAACCGCTGTGCAGATGATATAGTTATAGTTATAGTTATAGTTATTTTCCAGTACAGGAACAATATGTTCCTCTACACCGGACTCTATTATACATGTAATATGTTCTCATGTTTAAATATTAGAGTTCACTTGATCAAGATTTCACAATTTCTTCTGTAATATTGTATAACATTCCCCTCTTACTGGTTTGATATTTTGTTTATTATTATTTATCGATAACAAGGAAAACTCTTTTGAGCTTCTCTCTCCATGAAGCCTTCAACACCTTTGGCTGTTATAAATTTGAACAATTTACAAAACCAGACGGATATCCAGACAGGACAATTATATTAATGACAAAAGAAATACGAGAGATTCTATTCTGCAATATACTGCTGTAGTACAAGGTTAACTTACCTTCACAGCCTATGTATAGGAGAACATCCAAGGCAAACTCCCTGTCACCCTCAATCTCATTGTCGTGTACCAGGGTGTACGAACCATGTTTCCATCTCCGTACCTGGTTACAAAAACAGGGCTCACCTTTCGTTCCTGTGACATTTGAAAACCATGAAAAGTGTCACATGAGCCAAAACAAAGCCAAAGTGTCAAGGAGAAAATCTTATGTCTATCAAAACAATGCACAATAGCAGGTTCCTGAGTTGTATAGTAGCAGAAATCAAGAATTAAGTTAGATATAATAAAACAAATTCAGATCTTTCTATATCAAAATTTACATACATTTCTATTACCAAACTTATTACCTGTGATCAAAATTAGAACAATGTACAATGCAATGAAAACTTCAGAGAACAATGCTTCGTGACAATGCTTGTTTGAAAAAGTGAAACATTTCAAGGATTTTCATTTAAAAGATTGTTCATTAAAATTACTATTCAGGGCAATTTCTATTTCCAATGACTTTTCAAGACAACCATGTATATTCAACCCTATATAAGCAGCGACCTTAAAATCATTTTTGATATCAGCAGGGTTATGTCCCTTGAGCCATACCTTTTGGTGTTGTCTCCTCATCGCTGTCATCTGTATCAGATTCGGGCGCCAGCTCGTGAAGTTTGAGTCCAGTGAGATTTGATAGTACAAGAAACATGGCATCAGACTGGAACAAACGTCTACATTCCTTAACAATCTCAGGGGGATCCTCCATGTCTAGTGTGGAGTAACACCTGGAAGTATGAGGAAGTATTAGGTAAGTAACACTCAGGGTAACAGAAAAATACCGACTTACTGACAAGCTAGCTATCTCAGCAATGCAGTATAACCCTGAGATGTGCTGACTAATACATTTGGTCAGTGGCTGGATGGGTGCTAGCTTACACGTTGTATTTAATGGCAGAATTGTGACCCTCAGATATCTTGTAAGGCCAGTTCCCAGTGTATAGGGAAGGTGCATTAGTGCACAGGGAGGACACACAGAATTCGCCAGGCTAAGTCTGGGGATAAGAATTCTCGGAGGGCAGAATAGTGTAGAAGCCCAGGAATATTGGGAGGTAAATACTGCCTTACTGGCATCTGACAAGCTTCTGTAGCTTTACCCAGTACAACCCTGGGACCCCCTCACTAGTCTCTGGGACCCCCTCACTAGTCCCTGGGACCCCCTCACTAGTCCCTGGGACCCCCTCACTAGTTCCTGGGACCCCCTCACTACTCCCTGGGACCCCCCACTAGTCCCTGGGACCCCAACACTACTCCCTGGGACCCCCTCACTACTCCCTGGGACCCCCTCACTAGTCCCTGGGACCCCCTCACTACTCCCTGGGACCCCCTCACTAGTCCCTGGGACCCCCTCACTACTCCCTGGGACCCCCTCATTAGTCCCTGGGACCCCCTCACTAGTCCCTGGGACCCCCTCACTAGTCCCTGGGACCCCTCTCTAGTCCCTGGGACCCCCTCACTAGTCCCTGGGACCCCCTCACTAGTTCAGTCATGTCGAGCGTGGTCAGTGGCTCGATGGAACCTTTCTCACACATTACAATAATAAACACAGGTCAAATAGGTAACACCTGGAGGTAACGAGTAATAACACCTGAAGGCTACAGGTAAATTAAGTTACACATATGGTAAAATCTGGGGGTAACATATAACATAAGTAACACTTAAAATTAGTAGCAAATGTGAACGATTGATAATGTTATCAACACATGTGATAGCAGGTACATCTAACAAGATGATATAAGGAAATTACATCAATAAGGTATCTTTATTAAACATTTATTAGATACAATAAATCATCATTAAAAGATCTAATACCTCTTGTTGGCAGGTCCCCTCGGTGTCCACGAGTCACATTTCTGTAGTGCATCCTTAAGCTGCTCATACTTGCTGTTCTATAAAATAAACTTTAGAGATTTAAAAACACATCTACCTGAATCCCTCTATAGAGAGGATCTTAAAAACCCATGAAGTACAATTTTCATTGGTGTCTGATCATTTTGAATATCTATTGATAGTTTGGATAAATTGGATTGAAAATGTTGTGTTGTCATAAATGTAATCAGACCTTTAAAATTTTGTCTCTGAACTATAACTACAAAGTTATGCAGACTAGCTTAATATATATAATGTAAGATGACATGGTCACTGTAAGCATTACTGTTACAAAAGGCTCAGCCTCCTGAAATGGATAATAGCTTCAGACCGTGTAAAGGTCATGCAGACAAAACTTGCTGCCATCACCAGTAAGCGTGAAACTTGAATTCAGGGACCACCATAAAGTGGTCTCATAAAAGGCTGTTCTAAAACCAAGTTTAGTTAACCTAAACATAACTGCAATAGAAAACATTAGCATGGCCTGTTAACACAGGTTGTCTCTCAATGGAGGTAGTTGATCAGCAAGTTTGACTGTACTACTTAAGTTGTAGTTTGGCATTCTAAAGAAAATATTGTATTGTGTGTATTTTACCTGTAGGAAGTTTTGTAGTTCTATCTGAGATTCCTCCTCGAAGCGTTCCATAATATCTGCCTGTGACAGCATGTCCATGTATGTTGGGTTTATCCAGTCATAGAACACATCTTCCTGTGAAAACATAAAACATCTATCTCAAACACATGTTAATACTGGTATATGCAAAGGCCATAAGTTCTATATTGGTACTGACTTTCAAATGGTGAAATATACAGTGTACATGGGAGGGTGTTGTTATAGTAACGCTGGGTCTCTATGTGTCCCCTACCTGATACAGCTTCAACTATAGGAGGACATTCATCTACACAGAGCTAGGAGTGTATGGCTGTCTACACTGATGGCTACAGATTTAACAAGAAGGGTGTTGCTCTAAAAAGGCAACTATCTGTATATATATACAGTTGCCTTCTTAAATTTAATATCTGTAGCTTATAACAGAAAGATGTGGCTCTGCAAACTAAAAGGGGGTGTCTATGTAGGACTGCTTACCCATAATGCTTCAGCTCAGACCGGTGAAGGTCGTGGCTCTACAGAAGGGGGCAGCTCTTTTTTTTGAGGTGCCTACTGCAAATCCTAAAGCCTGGACCAAAGAAGGTTGTGGAATTATAAAGAGGGCAGCTTTACATTTGACTGCCCTCCAATATTACTATAGCTTAGACCAGAGAAGTTGGTGGCATTACATCATATTTTGACAAATTTGGTCAAAGGCTGAAAATTTGGCAGGACAGATAAATCACAATTAACAATAACCTCTATTTGAATAGCTTGGACCATTGAAGGGTGTGGCTCTTCATATGGGGCAGGTCTCTTTATAGATGGGCCGTGGAACCAGCCACTGATAGAAAGGCGTGTCTTGTCCTCAGACAGTATCTCAGCCACCTGTTGATGGAAACCAACAAATCAGATTTAATATCACCAATATTAGAAATTGTTAAATATTTAAAGGAACACCTGAATACTGCCACCAGCTCTGTATTACAAGACACAGTAAGATATCAATACACATTCTACACATTGCAGTTGTACATTTGTATCACAAAATACACTTTTTCTTATTTCAATGGTTGACTAAGACAAAGATATCTTTAGTTAGTGAATTTGGATATGTGTCAAGACAAAACAATAATAAAATTGTTCAATAAACATCAGTCAATGGAATGTACTCTTAAGGATCCCCGTCCCAGTAAGAGCAAAACACTAAAGAAGTCCACTGTCGTTTTTCCTGCCCCTGATTACCATTTGGACAATGTTGTTATCTTCCCTTGAATAGATTTCGTTTGAATAATGTTTCGACTACAGTGTTGTGTCGCTTGCGTTGAAAATCTCCAATCGCGAAAGTGTGGACAAAAAAAGCTGTTGTAACGATGTAAACAACGTTGTGGCAGTGATGGCATTTTTGTTTGTTTTAGTATTATTGTTAGAAAATTACTCATTCGTTTTGTGTTTTATTCATCAATATTGATATAATTATTATTTTCTGATGTGTTATATTTCTAATAAACCATTGTTGCATCAAATAAAATGTATTTTGTTTCATTTTGCTCCAATAATTTTTTTTTAAAAAAATCGAAATTTCGTAATATCCCAAAAAATCTGAAGAAACTCCCGCATGGTATGGGTTATTGTTCAGAAATGATTTGGTTATGCAGTAGCGATGCTGTAGAAAAAAAACCAATGGCTCATTACATTTTTAGGCGGAAGGACAGGGATCCTTAAGCTAAAATACTTCATTCTTGTACTAATCCTTTCAACTAATACTTTCTTGTCTATAAATACTTCCAGGCATCTGTTTAAAGAGACCACCTGTCTATAATGCCCTCTTATATATCATTACCACCAGGCACCTGTCCATAGAGACCACCTGTCTATAATGCACAATTGTCCATCAGTACCACCAGGCATCTGTCCATAGAGACCATCTGTCTATAATGCCCTCTTATATATCACTACCACCAGGTACCTGTCCATGGAGACCACCTGTCTGTAATGCCCTCTTGTCTATCACTACCACTAAAACCTGTCCATAGAGACCATCTGTCTATAATGCCCCCTTATATATCACTACCACCAGGCACCTGTCCATAGAGACCACCTGTCTATAATGCACAATTGTCCATCAGTACCACCTGGCATCTGTCCATGGAGACCACCTGTCTGTAATCCCCTCTTGTCTATCACTTCCACCAACACATGTCCATAGAGACCATCTGTCTATAATGCACCATTGTCCATCAGTACCACCAGGCATCTGTCCATAGAGACTATCTGTCTATAATGCCCTCTTATATATCACTACCACCAGGTACCTGTCCATGGGGACCACCTGTCTGTAATGCCCTCTTGTCTATCACTTCCACCAACACCTGTCCATAGAGACCATCTGTCTATAATGCCCCCTTATATATCACTACCAACAGGCATCTGTCCATGGAGACCACCTGTCTGTAATGCCCTCTTGTCTATCACTACCACCAACTCCTGTCCATAGAGACCACCTGTCTATAATGCCCCCTTATATATTACTACCACCAGGTACCTGTCCATAGAGACCACCAGTCTATAATGCCCCCCTTGTCTATCACTACCACCAGTCACCTGTCCATAGAGACCACCTGTCTATAATGCCCTCCTTTCTATCACTTTCACCAGGCACCATAGAGACCATCTGTTCATATACAACTACCTTGTGTTTAGTCCGTAGTCACAATAGTGAAACTGGGCATTAACTAGCTCTTAATGAGTTATGGAGAGTAACACTAACATCCCTATCTGCCTCACTGTCTTCATCTACTGTAAAGTTTTCTTGTTTTGTGTAGTGAATTTAACAGTTTCTTACTTACCTGGTGGAAAGACACAGGTGTCACCTCGAAGAACAGAAAGTTGTTTCTCACCGGGATTATAGACTGGACAACATCAGCAGGTTGGCCGTTCTCTGAGTGATATAAAGTAGTATTTAATATCTGCTCTGTTCACCTTGGATAATATTCTCCTACATAACCAATCAGTTAGGAATCCCTATTCTTTAAATATTAAGTAAATATTAGACCTACCAGAGCTTTGTTGATAATAAAGATAATATGGCATATAAGTACTTTCCAGGTTTCATTAATTTGCTTAGTTCACGTTATATTTTGAAACAAAATGTCCGAACTTACAAGGTACCTTTTACAGTTGATGTTATGCTACCCACCATTGACTGTAAATAGGTCCAGCGCCCCTCCATCTTCCTCTGACCAGGAGGGTGGGACAAGGTAATAGATAAAGGCTATCCGCCTCCCTTCCAGCTCATCGTCATGACACAGAAGGGTATCTACAATAGTCACATGACACTCATGTGAAATGTAGAATAATGCACAGCAGTCACATGACAGTTGCAGTGTACAAATAATGTCATTAGAAGAACTGACTAGCAGTAACATAACATGTATATGAGTGTACAATTGAAAAAAGTCCCATTACAGTATTCAGGATGTAAAAATATAATTTATGTAAGATAATCAGGGCTGTAATTGCATATCCCATCTCTAACCTCTTATGGGATTTGATAGGGAAGTTAGATTGATTATCATTCATTGTTTGAAACGGAAAAAAAATAGTTTGAAAATGATTTTATAAATGTAAATATGTTATAAAGTGACATGATGCTCTGTACTACATATCAATGAAATGAGTTCCAGATATAAAGATGAAAAGCCAGCAACTGTATACAAATGTACACATGTATATACCTGTAAAGTACACTTTTACCTGTAATATACACATGTATTTATACCTGTAATGTACACATGTATTGATACCTGTAATGTACACATGTATTTATACCTGTAATGTACACATGTATTTATACCTGTAATGTATACATGTATTTAAACCTGTAATGTATACATGTATTTATACCTGTAATATACACATGAATTTATACCTGTAATATACACATGTATTTATACCTGGAATGTACACATGTATTTATACCTGTAAGGTACACATGTATTTACACCTGTAATGTATACATGTATTTAGAACTGTAATGTATACATGTATTTATACCTGTAATGTATACGTGTATTTATACCTGTATTGTACACATGTATTTATACCTGTAATGTACACATGTATTTATACCTGTAATGTATACATGTATTTATACCTGTAATGTATACATGTATTTATACCTGTATTGTACACATGTATTTATACCTGTAATGTACACATGTATTTATACCTGTAAATTCATACTTGGCACATGACATGTCCACTTTGTCATTTAGAGGTATGTGCGTCACAGTCTCCAGCCATTCTTTAAATTTCACATATATCAGGTTTCTGTAAATGAGAACAAAGATCTGAAGTTTACCGATTCTGGTATCCTATCTTTGATACAACAACCGGGTAAGATGCTGACCAAATCAAGGACTACTACAATACCTTTAAGTGTCATCTCATTGAAATCTCATAACCTAGAAATGGTAGCATGGCAATCAATCTAGTGGGATCAATATATATATATCATTATGACAATGGTTGACAAGAGTTTCCTAGGGAGATTATACTGAAGTGAACCCTTCCCATATAAAGTCATTATTTGACCTATTCTCGTAAAGTTGTTTGTTTTTTGTTCATCATTAAGTGAGTATTTTAATAACAAATTGTTTGCCATAGTCTTTTCAAAAACTGACACAATAATTCATTATCTCCATATGTCAAAGAATATGTTAAAATAGTAAATACTAAAAAAGAAGCTGAGAAAGTCCTGAGAAAGAGTATTTCAAGTATCATTTGTAACTATATTGTAGATTTCATAACTCCAATAGCAGAGAAACTCAAACAATTACATAACGTAAAAATAATATTACAGATACAGTATGTGCAAACATCATATTTCAACTGCAGCAACAATCTATGAAGCCCGGCCCTTTGATGACATGCTGTATAAGTGTATCTTGTATGCACAAGTAATAATGCCGTTACTTTATGAGCATGAAATAATTATCTTGTTTGCTTGACGTAGTAATCATTTATACACAAGCTAAATTTTCACATGGATTTATTTTTTTGTGTGCACATGAATTATTACATACATGTATAAGGCTGAAATAAACAATATCTAGACCCACAGAAAACTTCTTATTCTGACGTATGTAGTATCGGATATATTTATCATTAGATATGAGATTTTAAATTATATAACTCTTTGTTTTTTAAAGTATTCAAAGACATTTCGTCTTGTAAACATGCTTTAATTACATTAATAACATGCATACACGTCTCTGACCTTCGGCCCTATCTACCATACAGCAGCTTTACCTTAAAGCACTAATATGAGGGGACTGCACAGCTTTGAGGTCTTCTCTGCTCTACAACAAACAAAAAGAAAAGCAAACAATGATATTTATAGATCATTAAAAAAAATAAGTTAATCTACATAGCATAAAAATGAAGTCATCAACCATGAAATTCTGACAAAACTTGCTCAATTGACCTTGACATACAGTTTTATCATTTCAAACACTTCTTTTTTTCTCACATGCCACATAGTAGAGTTAATAGTGTCTCGCATGCCACATAGTAGAGTTAATAGTTTCTCGCATGAGTTAATAGTTTCTGGCATGCCACATAGTAGAGTTAATAGTTTCTGGCATGCCACATAGTAGAGTTAATAGTGTGCCAGCTATTGACCATGATATCTCAGATTTGATTCTTGCAGAGACTGGGATGTGGTTAAAAAGACACATCACCTTGTTGCTCACTCCATCTGCCTAGAGTAGAGTTTAATTGGTCTTTCCTGTGCTGTGGATGTGACACCATTAATGTGCTGTAGGAAACACAGACCCATAACAAGCACCTGTACATACACATTCACACACATATAGATGTACTAAATGGAATTACGTGGTTACATGCACTTCTGTATTAACATTTTTTCCTAATAGTGTTGAATATAAATGTCCGACATTCCAAAGTGTTGAATATAAATGTCTATCATCCCTAATTGCTCAAAGTTATTGAGTTAGTTTATTCTTTTTAGGCTTCATATTGTAACATACAGTAACATACAGTAATATTTAATATTACACACATGCTTGTGTTTAGCATTACCTGGTGAAACTTGTAGAGGTCATTGTTTTTCTCTGCAAATGTCAAATCCAGCAGCTCTTCCTGAAGTTTTTCTAGAAATTCTTCGTCTTCAATGTAGTTTGGCAGAACACAGTGGGTGAATGGTTCATGGCATAACTGCAATGGACCTGGAATTAAAACAGACATATTTCAAAATATTATATCTTTAGTATACCATGTATAATTATGTATTTAACAATTTTCTGGAAAAAATCACAGTTTCAAAGTTTTACCATTTTCAAGTTCAATTGTATACAAGCGAAAATATATATAAGGATCAAGATCTAGGAAGAAATGAAGCACTGATATCAAAATTCAGTTTAAATTAGATTGATATTGGATAAACTTTAATTTGTTGATCAAATACTTTAAAACTATGTATACTACAACTACATGTTAAGATATTGCTGAGTATCAAATTGAAAAATAACTTTCTCAAATGAATAATAAAAAAAAAGCTCTCTAGTGTAATGTGTAAAATGATGGAAAAAGTGGTGCGCAAGCGAGCGATGGAACACCTGACAACCAATGTTTTGTTAAGCCAAAGACAGTTTGGTTTTGTTAAAGGAAGATCAACAGTATTACAACTGCTAAAGGTCATTGATCCGTGGACAGAAATACTGGATGAAGGCGGGAGTGTGGATGTTGTGTATATGGATTTCATGAAAGCTTTTGGTACTGTTCCACATCGGAGGCTAATAGGGAAATTGGATGCATACGGAATATCACTGAAGGTAAAAAACTGGATAAAGAGATTCTTGACCAACAGATGACAGCAAGTTTCTGTAAATGGACAGACATTGGGATGGCGGCAAGTCACCAGCGGTATACCACAGGGAAGTGTTTTGGTCCTACTCTGGTCTTGTATAATTAATGACCTACCGGAGGTATAGAATCTGTAATGTGGCTCTTTGCTGACGACACTAAATTGTAGCCGACACTAGGGAGGGGAAGGATCTACAGAAGGACTTGGATAATTTACAGCACTGGTCTGATGAGTGGCTTCTCAGGTTTCACCCAGAAAAATGCCATCTGATGATAATTAGGAGGGATGCCAAAAAGGCCAATCTACATTTGTATAAAGATTCAGGAGTTGAAATTGACATCACTAAAATATCGAAGGGATAGAGGAGACATGGTTGAAGTATACAAAGTGTAAAGAGGTATGTATGACATGAATGTAGTAAATGATCTATTAAGGGTGAACTAGAATAAAAGAACGAGAGGTAATACGCTTTCATTGGAGAAGTCAAGATCTAGACTTGATGTCAGGAAATACTCATTTACGCAGAGAGTGGTTAACACCTGGAACTTGTTGCCGGAGGAGGTGGTGCGTGCCCTAACTCTAAATTCGTTCAAGAACCGTTTGGACAAGACCTGGAAAGCGGAAGACAGGATGTACAGTTTAGCTACTGACAACACAAGTATCACATCAACCAAAAGTGACTACCCTGTACCCAAATATAGCAGTAACGAGACAGGAACTGGATATGTATAGAGGCCAAAGGCCTGCATTCAGAATCAACTGAGTGAAACATAATTGCAAGTATCATACTGAAGAACCTTATAAAGTATAATTTGTAGAAGATATGTCTCTCTCATGGATGAACAGACTCGTAAGGGAGAACGGCTGGTGTGGGGGAATACTTTTCTTTACCGATCCTTCATCACTTTTGAGCTATCAACCGTCAAAGGCTGACATGTGTAAATGGTATGACCACTATGACTAAATAATCAATACCTTCGTCGTATGCCTCACTGCCTTGATATGACGACTCGAATGTCGTTACATTAGATTCGTCTGTGTAACACTTGTTCAGCGACACTGACACGGTCGTTCGCTTCTGTGCAGACTTCGTCTTGCATTTTCCTTTTTTTGAATTTGGCTCTACATCTATGTTTACATCATCGGTAATTGAACGTTTCCTATCCATGATGTACAGTAGGGCCTACTGTATGTGCTACACACACGTGCCAAGAACTATTTTACAACCGGAAATTGGTTTTCGACATTTCTACTTTCACTTTTAAAATGTAGTTTTAATATTTATTCAATTAGGTAGATCTAGTAACTTTCTGAATAACTTCTTGGTGAACGTTTTTATCAGATATAATTATTGAATATTAATACATTTCAAATGCAAATAACAAATGTTACGACATCTGTCTCGTTTTTGGCATAAAAGCCCATGTGCACTTCCGGTTTACAGTCGTTTAGATTTCGTTTTGGCAAGCAACACCAAAGAACTTTCCCTGCATGAACGTTAAATAATGGTAAATATGTCGTATCCACTAATGGTTTGCGCGAATGCTAATAGTTAGATTCGTTCTATCGACTAATCATATATAAAATGTTCAATTCATATAAATAACCAAATTTTCGCCTTTCACTAGTTTCAAGTTTTGCACAGGCTACTGCTGTTGAAATGTGACAGGTTAATGTTTGTTTACAGTGTGCAATGTGATGACGGGATTAAATATCTATCATGTTTTAACAGCAGGAACCATTTTTATCGTTTGAAAGTTGATGTACATCGTGCCGTTCCGTTGAACGCTTGGCTCATATGTCGAAGTTGGGAACCGGGTCGTTTCGCCCTAAATCCAGTTCGCACAACGGGTCGTTTCGCCCTAAATCCAGTTCGCACTACGGGTCGTTTCGCCCTAAATCCAGTCCGCCCAAGGTTTTTTCCCTTAATGTAATTATATATTTCAAATTTATGAATATCAGTTGAAATGTTTTTAACAGGTTGGGCACAACGTCTCATATGGGTAATAATCCTGCATTTGGGTATCCGTTACCTATTTGAGTAACAATTTATTACTGATGTGAGGTTTACAGGGGTTCGCATCAGTCACTTCCACTGAAGATCCTGATTGTCTATACTACAAGTAGATGTTATTTGAGCTACTCAGTGCAAATATATACAGATAAAGTAACTTGCATAATTGGGTACATTTTCTAATGAATTAATCAGTATAACTGCTGTCTAAAAGCATTCAGTCCCTCTGAGTAATGTACAACACTATGATCTAATAACTATGAAATATATAACAACAAAATGAGTACTGGAAAAAAAATACTCCCTAGCCAACAAATGATTACTCCCTACCTGGGACTATACAATGAATTGCCTTCTGTAAATATGCTATACCAACTATAAAAACATATTAAACGAGCACTCACTTTACTTAATATATGCATTGAATAACTGAGCACTCACTACATATAATGCATGAATCACATATCCGAACACTCACTCTAACAACAGCTAAACCGAGCCTCTCAAAGTAACTACTGAGTACTCTCTAGCTATTACATGCCAAGTGCTCCCATACACTTTCTCTCAATCACAGGGCAGACCCAAGGTTATAATTCACAATCATGTGATGTACCGATCACATAGAGTAACCGTAGCGGAGAAGGGAAGCCTTGCTCAGGCACATCTACATCCGTACTTACTCTTCAGTAAATTATCTCTATGCCTTCGCAGTAAGATACAGGGAAGCCTTGTTCAGGCACGTCTGTATCAATACTATCATATTTACCTATCACAAGTGTTTCTGTCTCTGCCGACGATCAAACGAAGAGTGGGCTGCTGAAGTTAGCCGATGGCTTTTTATAGTCTGCTGCCAGACGAACTTGGCACCACCTATGATTCTTCAGTGTCATTAAAACATTTACATAAAATCCTATAAATACATGTATACTTCAAGCGCCTATTTCACAGCGAAGGTTATCAACAAAATGAGGGACATACTACTTGACGGCAAAGTGGAGCTGTGATCTGCCACACTGAAATGGGGAATAAAGTGAAAAGAAAACACATAAAATTCTTTTAAACATAATAATCAAAAAAGGGCATCGTTCTTTCAACATAATCCAATAAAAGATGCAATGATGTATAATTGTCTAAATCTTTCTGAAAATGACAAATTGTATCAACTCCATTGCTTATAGTGTGTTGTAGAGTAGCTCTATAAATAGCACACAGAAATAATCATGTGCACCTGTTGCATTTGCACTGGATGATCCCATTGACTACACACTGAAATCAAACAAGAACAAAGTCAATGATATGGTTTGTCATTTTCCCAAAAAGATAGACATCAGAATTGATTACTTTTTGTATACAGATGTGATTCGTTGTGTTATTTATTGGATTTAGCTGAAATAATAACGCCCTTTTTTGCCCCAAGTTTTTAAATATTTTATTCTATTCCCCATTTCAGTAATAAAATTGTTACTCAAATGGGTAACTGTTACCCAAATGCAGGATTTTTACCCATATGAGCCTTTGTGCCCAACCTGTTTAATTATTGAAAAGGCTTATTTACTATTTTCATTTTTCAATTAGATACAAGTCTGTGGTTTTCATGAGCAAAAGCCTAGTCAAAAAAAAATCCATTCCATGTATTTGCAGATCTGACCGAGTACAAATCTAATGAGTCTTATAGCAAAACATGACTAAAAAAAATCACCCTCAAAATATTTTAGGCCATTTTTTTTTTGGTGGAGAATGACCCGGGGCGAACAGGATTTAGGGCAAAATGACCTGATACCAAAAAGGTGGGTAAGGAGGGGGTGCAAAAAGGTTGCATTCCATTTCCTTCCTCCATCAAGAGATGCGATTACTAATGTGTTGCAACCAGCTTTCATGAAGTTGTTGTGAATGTTTAGGTTCCTGCATCAAGATGTTGTTCCCTGGAGTATTTTAGTAATCAATGTCTGTTCCTTGATTATCTCATATAGTACTTGTCCAATTTCAAAGAAGATTTATACATATGACGTTTTCCAAATAAAATTGTGCACCAGCTGGTTACAGTTATTTCTTTCGACTCTTTTCAAGAGAGATATGCCCTTTTTGTGAAAAACTTGTTGGTAGATTTTCAATTTATTTGTCCATGCATCCTCACTTTCTTTTCCAGTGATAATCTCAGATTCCAAAAAAATCTGTTTAAAGTTTGACATGGTGATTAGATGTGCAATGGGGGGAGGGGTTTCCTAGTAAAAATGTTTTTAAGGTCTATTTTACCACTATGTAAGCCATTTCAGAATATGAACTATAAGTATAAAGTTATAATGGTTTATTTTTGTAGCTACCACTATCACTTCTGAGGACAGCTGTGAACCACCCTATGGTAAGTCCTGTCATATGTTATAGGTTTGTGAACCACCCTATGGTAAGTCCTGTCATATTTTTATATGTTTGTTACCATATAAAGACAAGCATTACCTCATCATCACAAATTAAATGAAAAGACGATGAAACAATGCAGCAAAATTTATCATATGTTAATTTTATATAAAAACAGAATAGAGGATACTTTAAAACAGGAAGACTGTAAATACTTAATTTGTAGATTATCCAAAACACATACTACATCCTTATTGTTAAAGGATCAAGAGTTTAACTAGGCCTATATTTGGGGTCAAAATTCAATCCCATTTTCCCTATTAAATCTTGTTTTATGTTCCCATGTTTGGAAAAAGGGCAGTGGGGATTCTTCCATTCCTCCTATTAGGCATTACCAGTGTGATGCATTTGTTTTCTGTTTGTTTCAATGGTATACATGCATGGTACTTTTTTTCCTATACAGTTGGTGGAATTGAAGAATGGAGAGACATACAACGGTCATTTGGTCAGCTGTGATAACTGGATGAACATAAACCTCCGAGAGGTCATCTGTACTTCAAGGGTAAGTCATACAGAACACCTTTCTAACATCTACAAGCAGGCAGGAATTCTTAACTGAGAATTATGCAGGAAAAGTTGCATGTAAAAGTTGGGATGATGAAAATGTGTTCTATTAACATGGTGTTAATATGTTGAAGTGAAGAGGTCATCTGTCAGAGGCATACGCCAAATTTATGTCAATCAGGTATCTACCCATTGTAATACAAAATATAAAGATGATCATTTTTGTTGTAGTCTTGTAAAACTCAATATGATATATTGAAAAAAACATATTTTGTCTTATCAATTTAAATAGTAGCACCTATTGTGAAATGTTTGGAAACCCTCCTCTGAAGAATCTCTCTGTCCAGGACTTGGATGTGATGTCATGCTTTACACATACCTCCTGACAAAGGGACATAACTTTGTCAGTCTTGTAATATTTATGATCTGTAGTTGCTGCACTGCTCGCTATAGTACCCAAACAAAATATCTATCAAGATTAAAGTATTATTCCTTCCATAAATCTTCACTTTTTCCGAGGGAAACTCAACTTTGAATTGCTGGGCATCAAGCCATGAACACAGTCATGATATTAGTATACATATTGACTCTCGTTTCTGGCCCCACCCCTGGCCCCACCCCTGGCCCTAGGAACTTAATTTCTTGGCCATAACTTTGAAATGATTGAGGTCCTGAACCGATAGCCATATATACCATTGCTGGGCATAAAGATCCAGATGAGTGATACAGGCTCTCTGGGCCTCATGTCTTAAATACAGTATAGTCTCCCCTTAACTTCTGTTAAGATATAACTATAGCATAAATGGCGCAGAATACTTCTGTTGACTTGGTACTCAATAGATTAAAGGAATAGTATAACAATATGAAGTCCAGGGTTTGATTCCCCGAAACCAATGCCTGGAGGGAATGTTACGCTAGTCACAATGCAAAAAGCATGTTCCAATACTAGTTCTACCATTCATATGTTTCTCCCTTATTTCATCAGGATGGTGATCGTTTCTGGAGGATGCCAGAATGCTACATCAGAGGCAGCACCATCAAATACTTACGTATCCCAGATGAGGTCATTGATATGGTGAAGGAAGAGGTCATTCAAAAATCCAAAGGACGAGGAGAGATGAGAGGTCGTGGAGGACCACAGAGAGGTCGCGGAGGCCGAGGTGAGATACCGTTGTACATAACTTTGACAGGATAATGAAACAATTTCACGAAAATATGATTTTCTTACTAGGGAAAGAATTTTAGAATTGTATGTGGTTTACTTTGAAAGAAGAAATTGAATCTTTTCCCATAGAAAAAAAATAATCCAATATTTTCTTATTCTCTGAGGTGAAAAATGTATAAATCTTACCAACACACTGCTTTCCATGCTGTCTTTGACTAGAAGCCTGACACAAAACACCATAAAACATTTTTGCACCAAAAGTGTGTTTGGATTTGACAGTTATTTCCCTTGGTCTGTTAGACTGGTATCTAGGTACATCCTGAGAAGCTTTTCAAAATGAGAACATGACAGTCTGTATTTAACCTTTGACCTTGACCTCAAATACCGAAATACAAGTTTCTAGAGCATATCTGGAAGAACAAGAGGGGACATGATTGAGATGTTTAAAGTAACAAACAATCTGTACAACAGTTATGCAACTTTGGAAAAGTCAATCACAAAGACAGAATAAGAGAACATTCTCAGCTAAGCATTGTGAGAACCAGGAACTCCTATATAATTATAGATCTGAGATATGTTAATGATCCAAGTTACTTCACATTCATCTATTGTTTAATATTTCAGTGTTAAATATACAAATAAAAAATAAACAGCATTTGATATAGCGCCCTATCTAGCTTTTGAGTCATGTGTGGAGGATAATGGATCCTGTATCAGTACATAAACTTAACATAACTATATCTTAGCCCCTGTGGTTAGCAAAGTCCTTGAATTTAGAGAAGGACTTAAAGGCTTACAATTAAATCAGACGACACCCCTGCAGATGAGGGATCGGGAAAAGAATACACCTGTTGTTACCCACTGCAGGAGGCAACTAATGTGGGAAGCCTCTGCAGAATTGGGGATTTGCTTTGGTGTCCTCTATTTGGGGACACAAAAGCGACCACAATAAATCTGCTGCGCCAATTGCAATAATTTGAATCTTTCTTTCCACTTCTATCTACCTTTTATTTCCTAGCGCCTTGCTTGGTAACACCTCACTTTTGGCTTGAATGTTGAGCGTTCGCCCAGGTGAGGAAGGCAATGGGTTTTGTCCCCAGGCCGGGACATTCTGAAGTCATTAAAAACAGTAGTTGTTTTTCCCTGCTTAACTTTCATCATTTAGGGGAATGGCAACAAATGGTTAACCCGTTGTCAGTATAATGTGACAGGGCGGAATGCTGTGCTAGGTGCCTTCGGCATGGCATTTCATTGAGATAGCACTATAAAGTCGGCATCAGATCCGTGCTATCACAAGGAGGCAAGCACACAAACATACCCTGTCTCCTGCATACACTACACACATGGAGGCACGACCTTGAATGACCATAGCTGTTAACAGGACGTTAAACAAAATTAAACCAAACTAAACCATTTAGTCAGAGGAATAAAGTGTGACAAATTTTGTGCTCATTTTGTTGGATGTAAAAGTATTGATCTTGTGATATTGACATACAACTATTCTTACTTCAACATGCTTAAAAGCACAATATTATCATATACAATCAAAATCGTTACGGCGTCAACAAGCCGTGTTCAAAAAGAACACGCCCACAAACAGAACGGTTGTTTCAGCGTGTCACTCACTGCAACAAGTCTCCGAAAAAGATACAATGTTGTACACTGCTTCTGAAAACAAGGACGACACCGACCTCAAACTTCTATCGACCAACCGACGAGCCAGATGCAGTGAGTGACACGCTGAAACTTCCCTTCGGTTTGTGGGCGTGTTCTTTTTGAACACGGCTTGTTAACGCCGTAACGATTTTGATTGTAAATTCAGTAAACATATCATATGAAGTTGTGATCATCTGACTGTGAAAACTAAACTTTACCATGTTGGTTTGACTGAGTACCTGGTACACGGGTGGTTATTATAATAATAATAATATACAACATTTGGTATAGTGCCCTATCTAGCTAACATAAGCCACTCTAAAGCGCTTTACATTATACCCTCACAATGAACGCTGGAGGAGATATAGGAGTCTGTACGTACGTAGGTTATACTCAATGTCATCGCTGTAGCAACTTCATTTCTCAAAATGGAATTTCATTAAACTTTATACAAGTGTTTGGTATGACAAAACCTTGAATAAATTGTGTTTCAGTTAACTGTGTTGAAAGTCAAGGTTACTGTTACTATTTTTAGAAAAAACTTTGTCATTGCTCTATCGCCTTCATTCCTGAACAGAATTTAATTAAACTTCATACAAGTGTTTGGTATGGCAATGCCTTGAACAAAATCGCATTTCAGATTTCTACGTTCAAGGTCAAGGTCAAGGTCACTGTTACTATTTTTAGAAAAAACTTTGTCATCACTCGTATCGACTTCATTCCTCAACGGAATTTCATGAGACTCATACATATATACACAATGTGTGAATTGGAATGTGAGGGGATTTGTATCCCTTGTGAAGCCTTGTTTATTTTGATGTAGAGAAGGAAAGCAACACTTTATGTTTATAAGTTTCTCAACACTATACTTCAAACTCCATTCAGAGAAGTTAGAGGGCCAGGGGTGTACTGAAATCAGGTTGTTATTTGTTATCTTGTCCAGAAAACACTTTTTACAGTTTTCAACAGAATTTCATAAACCTGCACTGATGTAACTAGTCACACCTCTCTAAAGGTGTGTACCTGTGGTTACCTTTTTTTTTTATTTGGATATATTTAAAGGAGAAAACAATAACCTTTTGTTACCCATTGCATGTTCTAAGTAGCAGCTAATGTCTCGATCTCCAGCAAAATTGGGGATTTGCTTTTATGCCCTCTACTTTGGGATACAACAGTGACCAAATAAATCTGCTGCAATCATTGCAATATTCGAGATCTTTGTATTTTCTTTCTTTTGCCTGACAACCTTGTTTTCATTGGCGCTGCATCACTTTTGGCCTTAGTGTGACCATTTACTCAAGTTAAGAATGCAATGGGATTTGTCCCCAGCGCGGGACATACCAAACTGAAAGTCCTTCAAAATGATATTTATTATTCCCTGCTTAAAGTTCAGCATCTAGGGTAAAGGCACCAACAGTACACCCATTGTCAGTATATAATGTGACAAGGTGTCATACTGTTTGATGCCTTCGTTATAGTATTCAAGTGAGATATATTACACTCTAAAGTTGGCCTCTACACGCTATCACAATGAGGTGAATACACCAACATACCCAGGCTGCCTCTAGCACACACACATACAAGCACACAACCGTTACACACAAGGAGGCATGTCTTTATATATAAAATGACCTTAGCTATTAATAGGTCTTTAATGTCGGCAATACAGAGATATATTCTGGAATCAGCTAGTCTGTCCCCTCCATGGATTAAATACTGTTCAGAGTTCTCCTAAATTGACAAGCCTATTTCATTTAAACTTGATAAATCATCAGTGTGTTGTATAGTTGTCCACTTGATGTTTATATTTCAGTTTCAACATTTTCTCCCACAGTTATTGCTGTTGTTGCACTTAACTGATCATTTAAAGGCCTGTTTGGACAAATTTTCCAAATAATACATAGCAGATACATTTCTAATTTCAAATAATTATTAAATATTTAAGGATTAACTTGAATATATTTTTTATGTTATGGTGATATAACACAAAAAAACCAGAGCATACTCAAAATAAACCGCAAAGCGGTTTATGATGAGAGTACACTCCAGTCTTTTGTGTTATAGCTACATAACATTAAAAATATATTCAAGTCAATTCTTATAATTTAATCTACTATTCACAATCCCTGTGGAAATCCACTTTTATTGATGGACTCTTTTCTCTTAAAAATTATTACGCCGTTGTATCAGCCAAACAATAGTGACGTACGTTACAGGTGGCGATGTCATTTTTTACGTTATGTGCTGATAACATAATTGTTTAAGCAAATGAAAATGCTTGTTAGGTATACAAGCCAGATTAAATTATATATTAAAAGCTTACTGTTCTAGTTGGCTGTAACTAGAATTATTAATCTGTATTGTTTTCAACATCCTGGTCTGGACTGTTCTGGACTGACTGTCTGTCTGTCTACTGATCTCTATTGATGGATGACTATATAACATGGCCACACATCAGACAGAAATATCAGCACCAGCCTTGAACCATTGTTCTCTTTGGCCTGTGTAGTCTCAGTATGATCTCATTAAGAACTTTTGTTTCATCTAAATAATCCTTTTGGACTTTGGTTTTGTTACATCATGTTTGATGACATGTGGAATTCTTTAATTTATGGGGAGAAATCTTGGATGAGAAGAGTGAGTAAATTGGACAGATTAGGCTTTCTTCAATAAAGTATCAGACCTGTCTGGTCATGAGGAAATGAGGAAATAATGTCCACATCATTGTATTGGATCTACTGCATTTTTGACTTCTCAGATCAATCAAGACATTCATTTTGAAAAGGATGCTCTCCTGGCCCTTTGACCAATTGTTGGTTTTTGGACTGATGAGGAATTGGAGATAACCACCCAGCTTCTGCATTGCAGAGACATTTTGGACTTCTTCTCTTGTTCCTCCTCGTGTATGGCAGGAGTAAAGAAAAAGACTGCTGATGTCTTTCTGTGTACAAACTATAGAGATATTCCATTGTTTTCTCCAGCGAGTGTAAAACGACTACAGTAAAAATGTTTTAATGTGAAAAAATGAAACCTGCTGAATCCCACACCATATGCGACATAATATATTGGCCAGATTAAACAGGGTGTCAGAAATACAGGTTTTATTTAGTAATTTTCTGTTGATTTGGATTTTAGAACAGGATGTCAGAATACTCAGGAGTCACATTAGACTTGTCGTTATAATATTGAAGAGAGCACATGTCTTGCCGAAAGATGCAGAAAAAACACAAGCAAAATGAGTCCTCAAATTTCTTTTTAAAAAAATGAAAGGTTTTCAATAACATTTTGTATTCTGCATGATATAGTTAAGATCTAAGTGTGTTTTGCTTTGAAAGTTTTGTTTTTGTACAACAGAAAGACACCGGATGTGATAAGTGAGGAATTTATGCTGTTAAATGTCTATAGTGTAGAAAGAACATTTACCTTTAAGTAAACCCCATCCTTAACATTTCACAGACAGCGGTGCATCCTCAGATCAACTGTTAGCATGTAAATCACCCTTAATGTTTAACCAGTGAATGGCATAATGATTCCAACATTGTTACTCTCCTTTAAAAAAGCCCTTGATATTTTACAGTAAAGGTACGTTCCGAGGATCGATATAAAGCGTTGATATAGATGTAGATGTTGATGGGACGATAACGGGGAAATCTTATCTCTGTCTCTCACCGTCACCGGTCATGGTTGACAGATATGTTTTTTATATGTGACAAAGTCATTACGTACAGTAGTAATGACTCCCCTGTCTGTACCGCTTCCTAACTCGGATGGGGATGCAATCATTTATTACTAGCAGTTGTTTTAACTGTTTGTTAATAATGTTGTGTTCCAGATAAGCTGTGTCTTCAGTGTGTCTTGGTGTTTTATACTTAATTAACACTGTTTTTATGTAAAATTAATCATAAACTTATAATTTGACACCCATATTCTTTTTGTTATTGTAAGACTGAAGGTTGATTTGAATTTTTGTCATCTTTACACCCGATGTTTTAGCATTATTAGGTGGGCGCGGTGGTCAAGTGGTTAAGGTGTCTGACAATCTGCTACCACTAGCCCTTCATGATCACTGGGTCGCAGGTTCGAGGCTTATGTGGGGCAGTTACCAGGTACTGACCGTAGGTTGGTGGTTTTTCTCTGGGAACTACAGCTTTCCTCCATCACAAAAACCTGGCGCGTCCTAAAATGACCATAGCTGTTAATAGGATGTAAATAACAAATAAACAAAACCAAATTTTATCATTACATGCATTTCATAAACATTTGGGATACTATGTATTACAGTTTACAGCTAGAAGATGTAATATAAAAAAAAATGGTCAGATTTGTTTGTATTTCTGTGGTCTGGTCACAAAACAATAGGAAGACCACGGTTCAATATATCTGTTTCAAATAGAGAAATGTTATTAACCTCCACTTTGTCTATGTTAATGTCTGTTTCTCAGGTGTATAACCAAATATTCACCTCAGCATACCTCCTTCACTGGGAAATGTTTTGCATAGTGCCATATACAAATGTACAGTCCACTGACTTCGGTTCGAGTTGAGAAATGTGAATTTACTTGTAATATCCATCAATATATTTCTCTACCATAGTTTGGTGTATATAATGGATTTAGACTAGGGAGGGTTCATTTTATGGATTTAGACTAGGGAGGGTTCATTTTATCCAGGAATTTCTAAATTAAAGCTCATAAATCATGTTTAGCTGAGATGGTAGTGAATGACGGTGATGATGAAAAAAAGCAGTGAAGTAATTGGCCAGATTTGACACAGTATTTTTTTTCACGGTTCATGTAGAGCAAGAACATGTATGAGGGATGTTCCACTTGAGGTAAAATATGAGATGGTGTCCAGGTCTCTATCTGGATAATGTAAGATTTGGCTTTATAGGCCAAAATAGAAAAAGTGTGTTTCAACTCTTCCTATCTTGCCCTAGATTTCATAATTCCTTTCATGGTCTTTCTTTACCAATTTAAATGAGTACATTGCTTAAAGTTTGAAATGCTTTTGCTCTATTGAAACATTTATACAAATATTTTGAAGAAAAAAAAATTGAAAGTTTTGTCTACTTACCTGCTGAAACTTTTTCAGAGATAGAAAAACAGAAATAGAACAATTTGTTTGGCCTAATGCTGTCATTCAATGATAGTGTAAAGCTTAACATCAGTCCCTCAGTTAACAGCTGAAGGCAGATCTGTAGAGAAATATCAGGTGATCAGTACAAGGCAGACATTTTTTGGTGGCTGCAGAAAATTATTAGGAGAATTTTTCCTTAACCCATTTTCATTCAAACTTTTCTTTGGTGCCAGTCAGGAAAAAATATAAGTCTGATTAGTTTTGTTGATAATTTTATTATTGCTTAATCAGGTATATGTTTGTGTTTTTATACAGCTGCTAGAAATCTCAAGTTATATTTTACATTGCAAGCAACAGAATACACTACAAATGTTAATTTCACTATCATTGAACATGTTTTTGTAGAGGAAAACTCTGTGTGTTTTATAGAACTTCAATTTATCTCAGATATACAAGTGGGTCTGGAGGATCACTGCATTTACTGTCAGTACTTTTATCACTGCTCCTGGAAACTTATCATCTATATCAAAGATTAAATTCATTCTTTGGGAGACAAAACATACACATTGCTGAGGTGTTTGATAAAGGAGGTTTGTGTTCATTATACAGCTTTTCTCTCCTGTGGACATTCATATCGGGAGTTTTTACTTGTAATACCTACCACATCGATGATAAGGCTGGATTAGCCATGATTTTTATCATATTATCAGAGTGATCTCCCCATGTTTGGTTTTTATTTTGTCATTTTTTTCCTTTTTATGTCACAAAAGCCCAACATGGATGACATTTTAATCAACAGGATATCACACTTTGGGATAAAAACGGCAAGAAGTTTTTGACGTGCAATTTAAATGAGTGATATCTGCAACTTCTGTTTCTCGTGATCACGACAGCGCAGATTTGTTTTAAAAGATGTAACAAAACGCGAGCAGTGGTAATTTTAACACTTGAAATTTTGCCATATTTTTCATACGCATCTCCTGAACTGTTCTTCCAATCATGTTAGGGACTAGTGTTTATGGTCGGCCTGTCAGTACTGTTTTAGGGGTTAAAAGTTATGGACACTGAGAATATATTTAAGGGGTCATAAAGATATGTTTCAGTGCCAGAATCTTGTGAATCGGCATAACTCGTGATTAGCTGGGTACTTTATGTGACAAAGTACACAAGGTGTGCGGATGGGGTGGGGAGAATTTTGACAATCATACGACAGGGTACAATATCTTGACAAAAAATCTTGTATATGAACTCTTTTAACTGTCAGAATAGATTTTCGTGATAGAGATAGACTGGCTAAGGGATCAGAGGCATCTTGTTGAGATTTCTGCTGCAGTGGATTTAGTCAGAAAGATACTAGAATAACCGCTAATGGACCATTTAGATCTTAGTCTTGCAAAAAAACATGCTACTGTTTTCTGTCAAAGTTTTGTTGCCGTGATTATTCCTTGGACCAAATTTCTGTCATTTCACAGAGATTCTGCAATAAACCATATGTGATTATAGAGTACCTATGGAAGGCATCATAGCCATGACTGACATGCATCTTACATTTTGGAAAATCTATGAACGGCTATTTTTCTGAAAAGCCTTAAGTTAATTAAAACCAGATTTTGAAGACGTTTTCAGTAAGAATTTCCATGTCTTCATCTGAAGTATTTACATACATGTTTTCCGATATCTTTTTTCTTGGATTGTTTATCATTAAAAGAGTAACCATCAAGCTAGAAATTGAGAATGTCTAAATCATTCCAAGAGAAAATGTATTGATCTTTGTCCTTGATGTACTAGAATTTTATTGAATTTCAGTCTGCCTATCAGCTTTTTCTTACCCCGACAGTTTTAAACCAGAATTTCAGAACTGCAGGTGGTGTACAATGTTACATATTAATCATACACATTTATCAAGCAGATGAGCTTGTCTTTCATCAACCTATTCATGATGACATAGGTCAAGGTCAGAGGTCATATCACTTATATAGCTGTAGGTCAAGGTCAGAGGTCATATCACTTATAAAGCTGTAGGTCAAGGTCAGAGGTCATATCACTTGTAAAGATGTAGGTCAAGGTCAGAGGTCATATCACTTGTAAAGATGTCCCTCAAAATGTGTCTCACCAAGTTAATTATTAATTTCTGTTCTTGTTGGAATGAATCGTCTTGACCATTTCCATGTTCTATCATATCACTGAAGGTTACTGTCAGAAATTAAATCTGACAAGTTCAAAGGGTCAGAATAATTTCACATGCAGATTCTGTAAGCAAGTCATTCATACACTTGCTAATCAAGCATATATGTTTTAAAATTAGTTGATGGTGGTTTGATCCCTTAAAATTTATTCCTGCCGTATTTCTATGTTGTGCTTTATAAAATTTGTCAGCAGTGAAATAGTAACATAATGTAATGCATGTTTTAGGACTACGACACCGTTTGCTAAAACATGGGTTACTTATTAACATCTAAATAGAATAGTTTTGCCTTATTTTGTCATTTCATGAAATTCTTTAAACAACAACGTTAGAGTTGCCACAATCAAATTTGTGACGTCACAGTATCTAGTGATCACATGATCAACAAATGGTGTTAAATTCTCAAGAATGTAATAATGCTTCCTTTATTAAGTCGTGTGCTCGAGTTGTAATCAATACGACAAATTTTACACTAAAAATATCAATTTATCAATTCACACAATAAAGCATGGACATAGTAAAATTAGAGTTCAATTTATCTTAAACTATAACTTGTGTGACAGTACTTAGGGAACTTAGGTGACATACAAAAGGTTAAACTACACTTGCATTTATTTATTCAAAAAACTTGATATTAATTAATGGTATGTGGTATTTATGCTATTAATAGTACTTTTCCTGATAGAAATCGAAACAAATTTTACAGATTTGTATCTGTTATATTTTTTAGGTGCGTTCGGGAGCCGAGGAGGAGGCAGAGGAGGTGGCCGTGGCGGCCAACAAAGGCCGGGCAAAGGGAGGGGTGATTAATTGTAATGTCTGCAACAAGGGAGGGGCGATTTCTGTCTTCAACATATTGTTACTATTTTTGTTTTTGGTTGGTTAAAAAATATCCAGCAAGATTGTATGAGACAAAACCAAAATGTACTTATTTTGATGTGTTATTTTCAGGCTAAATTCAACCATGCTGATTCTATTGGGGAAACTCTTTCATAAAGTTGCTTTGCCATTTTGTCGAATTCTTTTCTTTTTTTTATGCAAAAGCTCATCTCTTCAACATTGCTTCATTGCTGACACATTGCATTGTTTTGGTAATTTCCAAGGGAAAGGATTTTTTTTCACAACATAGTTTTTAATTAGTTAATTGTAAAATGATAATGACCTTTCGTAATTCTTCGGGAAATGAGATATTTTTCATACAGTTTGGACAGCTATTTATTTCTTAACCACCCAACAAAAAGGGTAATGTTATGAGGAAGACTGAATGGTTTGTGAAAGGAATGAAAGCATATAGGGTGAATGTGACAATGTTCCATTTTGGAGTTTGGTACGCTTGTATTGTGGGGTGTGGACCTAGTGAAAACGTCTGTATGAAGTGACTGTTTACATACTTATATCGGCCAGATCTTATTTTAATGCCCTTGTCATTTACTGTCAGTCATGAATTAGACATGACATAAAAATATCTGTTACCATGCAGGTATCACAAAGTCATTTTAACTCATTCACCCCTGAAACTTCATAATGAACTATTCCAACCTTTGAATTGGAAGAGTTCAAATGTGTCTTCAGTTAAGGTGTCCGCAGTGCAATGATTTAATAACCAGTACTGTTGAAGTCAGGATATCTTCTTGGTGTCGCCTGTAACAAACGTTTGTAATTAAAAGACTTACCTACCTGATGTGTTTTCCCTGACATGTAATAATATGTAGGTATCAATATGTTAACTAAGTAAGGCCAAGTTACTGGTACTTTAGATGAAAACAAAATATTGGCAACATCAGTATGCAGATTGTACAAAAGGCATTAGAATAAGATGACCATTAATATATGTAGGTTATGTATGTAAATTGTGTGTATGGAGCTCATCTGTTGAGTTTGTGTCATTGTTTATGACAGAATGAGTGTGGTTGTACTTCGTCATTTTGCCATGTACAAGTGCTATTATATTGTTTTGTAATGCTACATACCTGGTATGTTACTGTGGTCAATGGCGGTATTGAAGTACATATAGTTATACCTCCAAAGCCAATTTCTTTTCTCTAAAAAAATGAAGAGAGAAAAAAAAAATTAAAAAATCTATTTACGGCAAACAACTGCTACAAAATTTGTTCCAATGATTTAGAGAATGGTTCTGTGTACTTGTTCTTGTTATAGATGGGAAGTATACATCACTTCAAAATACAATTCATTACATCTAGAAATCTCTTCTGGATGTGCAAAACACATACAGCCAATTACGCAGTCCTGAAGATTGATAAATAGAGTCATATTTCATGTTAGGAAATGTAAAATGGTGAGACACCAAGCTTCAAAATCTCAGATAAGGCATTGATTTATGAAATTCATTTAATTACATGCATCCGAACTGCACGGTGTATTTCTTTCTACAAATCCTCAGTTTCTATATGTTTTACGAGGAGGTTTCCAATCTCATCGTAAGAGTACTGGTAAAGTGCTGCTGAACCAACTTTATACAGATTCTATTACAGTAAGGTCACACCAATTTGATTTTGTGGTTTTTTTGGGTCAATGTTTGTGGGAAGAAATAGGGATCTTCTGGTGACAGCAGTATTTAGGAAGCTTTGTTATTATTTGTAATCATTTAACATTTACTTTTTCTGAAAATTCAAAAGGGTTATATTCTGCTTGAAATAACAAACTCCAAACAAAATTAAAACAAAAAATGATTTTCTGAATAAGACACTGACAAAATCTGAAACCAATGTTTCCGATACCAATTTTGAAAAGAAGTATAAACATGTAATGAACATAGTGTGGCCTAACAGTTACATGTCGTGAGAGATGTGTACTTTTATTTTTTTTGTTTTCAATCCGATCAAATTTCATGAATCATTCAATTATGATCAAAATTTATCAAATATCCCCAAATGATGTAGCAGATTATGGATTGCGAGGTAACATCCAGTTTAAAAGTTAAAAGCATATTTCTGTTAACAGGGTTTTAATAAACACCTTCTTTCATCAACCAATTATTCAATTATTATTTTTTTACAAATTACAGTCTTGCCTGTTTCATGAACATATGTTTGAATGGGATTTTCCTGTCGATGGATGAGTGAGTTGATTAATCAAACTCATCAGCAGTTTAGATGTTAAGTAATCCTATCATTTCATTGAAATTACATTATTGTACATCCCTAATTTTTCAAAATAAATTCAATATTTGATTGACCCGTGTTGATTTAAAACTTAGATAAGGGTTAGAGGGTACATCCACATGAAAGTCTGGTATTGTTTTTAAACCTGTCTGTAAATCGGATCTCTGTACAAGTGTGCTTATCCTTTATTTCCTGTGTAAGACCGTGGTTCGGGGTCAGCTTAACAAGGTCTGAAGGGGACTCAGGATTACAGCACACCTGTGGCCTCGACTTTTGTTGGTTAATTAGTCTGTAAATATGATATCATTGCTGCCTGTACATCAAAGGAATTCTCCTGTCGACCTGTCTATAAAAAATGCATTACAAGCCATCAGAATGGCTGTAGAAAGCCAGTATATATAGGTAGTGCTGGAATCTGGGGGAAACTTCTGTCCATCACTACACCAACATGTTTTGATATTAAAATACACTGATTTTACAACATATCTGTGTTGTGTGTGTTTCCTCAGCTTCACCTCACTTTGATCTTCTGCTTATTTGCCAACAGAAGTTCACTGGGTACCGAAAGATTTTATACCAATCACTTAGAATTGTGGAGAATTGTATTGGGGTGTCCGGTTATAGTGCCGTCAGTTAAAAATTTATTGAAAACATTTTACTTTTATTAGCAAGGAAGGGTAGAAAAAAAGAATTATTTTCAACAAATATTTATTTTGATGATAGTAAACCTTGATAGTCTTAACACTTTTGATTTCTGAGAGAAAATATAGATATAGGGTGTATGAACATTATACTATTATAGCTGTAAATATTTTACACATTATCATGCATTGTATCTTGACCATATGTCGATGAGCTTCGTGCTCAATTGGTTATCAAGAATAAATAGAACCTTTATTATTATTATTATATAATATGATTTTGTCATAAATGACTCCATGTCATTTTTTAACTAAATGATGGACTTTAAATGGTGCACATGACTTTGTGAGCTTTATTTCTGATTTGCTGACAATGTATAAATCAGAGCTGAACATTTTCATCTAGTTTTCAGGAAGGATCCTTGTTCCCACCGTTAAGGAAAAGTGTTTTTTGGTAAAAAAAAATACATGGCCATTTATCTTTCAACACAACAAAATCACTTGGTCTTAAATTTTACTACCCACTTACTTTGTGATAAATTTTGTTCCTGGCTGATAACTTTGGTATTTATTGACCGATGTACATGAAACTTGGTCAAGATGTTCAGTTCACTTAAAAAAAAACATTGAGGTCAAAGGTCAAGGTCATCGGGTCAGGGGTAAAGGTCAAATTTTGTAGCTTTTCACTAATGAGCATTTTATGACATTATGAAGCGAAGTTATTCGGAATTAAATAAAGAGACACACTGAGGTAAAAAGTTGGAATCAAAGGTTAAGGTCTTTTGATTCAAAGGTCAAGGTCAAATTTTTTATCTTTTCACTGATGAATATTTTGTTATGACATGATGAAGCAAAGTTTATCAGAATTAAACAAGGAGTCAACCTGACCAGATGTCAAGGTCATTGGGTCAAAGGTCAAGGTTAAATTTTGTATCTTTTCACTGGTGAACATTTTGGTATGACACTTTGAAGCAATGTTGCTCAGAATTAAACAAGGAGTCAATTGACCAAAGGTCAAGGTCACTGGGTCAAAGATCACAGTCAAATTTTGTATCTTTTCCCTGATGAACATTTTGTAATGACTTGATGAAGCAAAGTTGTTCGGAATTTACCAAAGAGTCACCTGACCTAAGGTCAAGGTCACTTGGTCAAAGGTCAAGGTAAAATTTAGTATTTTTGTGCTGGTGAACATTTCATTATGACTCTTTGAAGCAATATTTGTGGGAATTAAACAAGGAGTCATTTGACCAAAGGGCAAGGTCACTGGGTCAAAGTTTAAGGTCAAATTTTGTATCTTTTCACTGATGAACATTTTGTTATGACATGAAGCAAAGTTGGTCCGAATTTAAAAAGAAGTCAACTGACTTAAGGTCAAGGTCATTTTATGTTATTATGTAGCAAACTTGTTCAGAACTTAACACAGAGTCAACTGAACTTAGGTCCAGGTTACGGGGTCTAAAGGGTCAAGGTCAAGTTTTATATTTTTGACTGATGAACATTTTGTTATGATATTATGAAGCAAAGTTGGTCGGAATTAAAGAATAAGTCAACTGACCAAAGATCAGGGTCACTGGGTTAATGGTCAAGGTCATTTGGGTCCAAAGGTCAAAGACAAAGTGGATCATTGACTTTTACCCTGGCTCTTGATGGATGAGGTATATAAGGTGAAATAATACAAATCAAAGCTAACAAATCTGTATTGCATCGGTATTTACATTTCTGTTAGCCCAGCAAATATGGAGACGGGAGGAAACAAGACTCACATCATAGTACATGTAAAATGGATATTTTGCTTCCTTGCGATTCTTTTTGAAGTCCAAATGTCAAACGTCAAGCTTAGCTATATGGGCAGATTGCTTCTTGATGATTATGGGGGATACATTGCCACAAGACAGGGCCCTTACTGACCTGTCCATGTTCTATTTTTATTTAGGACATTATTATATTTTTTCCAACAAAAAATAGTGCAGGATACATGCAGTGGAAATATTTTAGTTTGATTTAGATCAGAGGTGAAAAGATAGGTTGCAGTGACCTAGTTTTGGTTCCTGAGTTTCCACTTTCCTTAGATATATGCATATACCAAAATTGATGTTCCTACATTATAATATAGGAGAAACACTCCCTAGAGTGAGATTAGGGATCAAAATATATGTTGCAGCAACCTAGGTTTGATTTTGGATACTTTGTTTTCACACCATGTATTTAACTGCCAAGTTATCCGATACTACATCAAATGTTAACACTCTGAGACCAGAGGGCAGACTACTGGTGGCAGTGTCCTAGTTTTAGTACACAACATTCAGTCTTCCATACCATACATACCTAATGCATTTGACCATTCTACATGAAAAAGAAGACCTTCTGCAAAAACACTTTACTTTGAGGTCAGAGGTCAAACTGTAGGTAGCATTAAATCGATTTTAGTTCAGTGCATTGCACCCCTTCCCTTCATACAGATTTCATAACAATGTACCAAATGTGCTGTTCCTATATCAAACAAACAGTACAGGAGAAAGGCTTCAGAAAAAGTTTTCTTTAATTGAGGTCAAAGCTCAATATAAAGGTAGCAGTGACTTATTTTTACCTCAGGACAAACTTTCTTCCACAAAGTTTAATGACCTTTCAATGAAATGCACCAGAAACCGTTTAGAAAGATGAAAAACCATTACTGGACATGGTTTCCATTTCTATCTTGTTGTGTTCACAGAAAAGTAGACCAAGACTAACCCTATCTACCAAAGCTGTATATGTTAGATCATGCAAGGCGTCCTCAGAGATGGCTAGATCACTACTACATGAAACACCAGCTCAACAGCTCATAAGTCAGGAAGTATTACTCATTCAAAAGTCTTGGCACAGACTTTCTGCTAAATACCATAACTTCAACACTGAATATGTTATTGTCAAGTGTATTGAGTTTGAGCTGCTTTGCCAAAACACCCCTGGAATATGTCGTAGCAAAATTGAAGGATCGGTGTGCGTTGGCACCCTGTTGATGAGACGAGAAGACTAGTTCGATCCTTTGGTATACATCAAAAGAATCTTGCGGTCACGTAACGGTAAAACTTGACAGGCTTTGAAGTCGGGCGTCTCTCCTTTGTAATCTTCAAAGGGCAGATATAAGCCTAGCGATTAGTCAGGTTTTTATTTTTAACTGAGACCAATCAAACAGCTATATTCGTGCCTTCAATTTTGCTATGACATAGGCCTATTCCAGGGGTGTAGACAACGAAAGTGAGCGTAATCCCTGGATATCGAGGATGGCATTCTAAGAGAGTATGTTGAATTTGAATAACTTTTCTTCAAATCAAGGAATAATACTTGTAAGCACGTTATCTACGCTTTCGTGAATACAATTTAAAGATAAAGGTTCTTAAATGCTATTCAGTTAGTTTTAAAATGTTCCCTGCATAGAGCCATTTCTGTGTACAGCGAAATAAAACGGCGGTATTTTCAGTTTCACACTACCTCCTTTTCTATTTATCAAAAGGATGTCAATTGTAGAAGTCACATTTAGAATATTTTATTTTCAAGACAAGCGACCTTTATAAACCACACAATAGATTCCTTATTCATGATGAATGCACCTGTAAACAGGACGGAAAGAGTGAGTATTTTTGATGCGGCATAAGTGAAAAAAAGTGTGGTATATATACAGTGGAATGGCAAAATAAACTAGACATGAATTCATGACTTAAGACCGTGCTTCCTTGTCTCTTTAACTTCGTAAACGGTGGATTTTCGCGACAGCAAGGCGTATTTTAAGAAAACAAAACGGCACTTTTCCGTTTTGTCGCAGCGGCAGAGTGCTGTATTAGAACATACAATGGCACTTTTCAGCTTTGTCGCGGCGACAAGGCGAAAAAGCAATAAATCCCCTAATTCACTGCCATAAAATCCTGATATTTGATATTTGATAAATGTGCTTGTATCTACCTAGTCTGAGAGAACATACCAGTATTTAGGCCAATATCAAGTATGATACCATCAATACATACCGACTTTGACAGACCTTCTATCTCAATTAAGCAAAACATTTTAAAACATTAAGTTACCGGCTTGATGATTGTTAAGATACGGTGAATTCACTTTCCACATTATCATTAAGTACGTAATAAACTGACTGTGACACTTGGTCGGTTATGAACACCCCCGGGGTGCCTTTCTCCTCCCCCGTACTACCGAGGGAGATACTGGTAGGCCATGATATTGTTCCTTGCGCTGGAGACTCAGACAGCATTACTTCTGATGCAATCATGGTAACATACAAGAGTGTTTACTTAGAGAAGTTCGTTTTTTACAAATCACTTCTTTTTTTTAGAAAGAAATGAATCAATAGAAAAATCAACCAACGTCCTGAATTCACTCCAAAATAATTATTGGTACAAGCTTAATTTTGATTATGGAACAAATTCGAAAATATGTTTTCTAAAGTAAAACTACGCCATTCGAAGCAGTTCCAACGATCCATTACGTAACTGTCCCAGGCTGTGACATGTTCCGGCGTGCTAGAGAAAACACAGGCCGCCTCCCCTGCTGTGGTATGCAGTCACACACAACGGGACTCGGCATTGCCGAGTGCCAGACGCGCGGATTTTTCAATCGCAGATTGTTGGTTCCAGGTTGGCTTTGCCGGTGGCGCTAATGGCTACCGTCTGTGGGAGCATGTCACTCCCAATCTCGGGCCTTTATACCGAATAAGAGTCGACACTTTATATACTCAAGTAAAACATTCACACTTAAAAAACCTCTACCGAGATTGGGAGAGCTGGCAATGTTATGGCCGTTTACGACACAATGGTGTACAGTTGATGCTATGTTTCGTACGTGTATGAATTGTTATGTATGAAGGTTACTGCTTGTAATTATTGTTATGTAATAGTGTGTGTTTTGTAAGAATTTGTCCCCTCAAGTATAGGATTAGCATGTGTAAAGAGGTCGAGTGGTTTCCGTTTTTCCTCTTGATGTACAGCCAACATTGATCTCCGATTTTTTTCTGTATTGAAGTATTTTTCTTATTAAAATCGTGAAGTTCTTAATTTTTCACATAATAAATCACTGAACTTAAATATTGGCTGATTGAGGCAGATATTTATTTCATCTCGTTAGAGCACGGACTTAGATATAATATAATTCCGTGGTTAGAGTAAGGCCGAGATAACATTTCGTTATAGCGACTAAGTATGTATATCTCGTTATAACGGGATAAAATAGGATTTTAGATATCTTCTATCAGGCAACATAATAGAAAACTGAGGAAACAAACTTAATAAAGTAGATTGGACGAAAACCTATGGGAGGTATTTGACATGACGTTAAACACGTGTACTGTCTGTCACTTGAGTTATTTTGACAAATAGACGTCCTACTTGCAATAGACAACTAGATTTGTCAACAGGTCTCGGAGATCCTATTCTATGTAAACAAAAGCATGTGGGATTTTGTTTTAGTACCTTACACCCACCTCGATCATTCTTGTTTGTCAAAACACCGTCCTTCAGAGTCCGGCACATTAGTGTTGAGTAGCGTGTCGTACGGGACTGGAGCACTCTTATACAGACGCCTCTACACAAACCAGGAATGTTTGATCCAAACAATACAGGTCGTCATCTTTGGTTTTGTTAAACAATCATGATGTAATATACACGTATTATGTTTTTGTTTGAATAGAATTTCAGTGTCAACACGAAAACGAGACGTTGAGTAAGATGTTGACATAGTCATCGTAATCAGTGTGTTTACACGATACCAGTACTGCAGTGATGTAGGTGTGACGGTGTCAATTAATAGTTCTCCGACACAGATCTGGTTAAACTTCAACTAGATTGAAGTATCCCACAACATTATACATGTCCCCGCCATGACACTCCGTCTAGTCATAATATACCTACTCAGGAAAGGTGACGTAGGCTATATTGCGTTGGCCAGCAGTATGATGACCTCTGACCTCTTGCTGTGACATACGATGTGTACGCAACACACCGAGAAAATCTAAGGAAACTTCCGACAGAGCTTGAAATTTACAATAGTATTGTTTAACACATATTTTAATCAATTTAAAACCAATACAAGGTTACTCTACTGGGATGGAAAAAACGTTTAGAGCTTTTGGGAAATCAAAAATATTGGCCTTTTCCCCCCATTTACGTTGTAACGTTGACCTTATGGTTATGAACATGAGAGTAAATCATGATGTATTGATATATGAATTCCCGCTTAAATATACAATATAAAACCTTTAAACTCCCTGACCTTGCTATTGATTTTGTAGTTTTATTACATACTTACAAATAAATACGGGTTTTTTGTATATGCGATACGACACAATTGCTCTAACCCATATCAGCCCTCGCAGTATCACACCCCAAAACCCGTATCAGCCCCCGCCGTATCACACCCCAAAACTCGTATCAGCCCGCAAAAACCCGTATCACACCCTTTTTGGAAAAAAATAAATCGTTTTTCAATAGTTCAAAAGAAAAATAGATCATAAGGTAGTAACTTTTATTTGTAAGTATGTAATAAGACAATATATTTATTTGTGTTTTAAAAAAAAGTCAATTGTCTAAAATTACACAACAAAAATACTTCTCTTTCTGATTCATGTAAAGACTAATTTAATGATGTTTTTTTTCTGGGGAATAAGGACTTTAAGAAGGTGAAAAGTATGTAATAAACAGAATAAACCATGCCTTTTTCCATATCACACCCAGTATCAACCCTCGACCATGCAATATCAGTCCTCGGGCTGGTATTGCAGTCTCGGGGTGATACTGGGTGTGATATGGAAAAAGACATGTATTATTCTCTATTTACAAATGAAAGTGAAAGTCTAACAATCTATCTATGATGTTGGTAACCGTTGATAAGTTATTGGTTAACAAAGCACTACGAGGATTTTACATTCGGATGTGTCGAAAATACAAGTCATATCCCGGGCAGACCTTTCAAAGACATTTTGAGATTTTATGATAAGGGTTGAGTTTACGGACATGCGCCACGCAGTGCTGGTCCAGACATCAATGTACGGGGTAAGAATTTCCGCTCTCTACAGTTTTATAAAGATGACACGGCTCGTATTGACATATAAGCTTCCGGTTGTTATGTGCCGCTGTTCAAATAACCAATTTCGCTCCTTTCCTTCAATGCGTCGGTGGTGTAACGGTCAGCATGGTTGCCTTCCAAGCAGTCGATCCGGGTTCGACTCCCGGCCGACGCACATTTGTTTTTACTTTTTTTATTTTTTTTTATAAAATATACCATTCTCCAATTCAACATGTTTTATCTGAACATAATTGAAGATTTTTTTTTATTATTTATCATTTTCCTGTTTCTATTTAACCACCGACATAGATATAATATTCTGGTATTGTTATGACAATAGTGTTTCTTCTTCAATTACTCAAAGGAGATGTCTGTAATTCACAGACTCTCGTCGAGACATCTAGTCGTCAGACCAAATAGAACGATCATGTTGTTTGTTCAGGAATCTAATCAAGGTCAGCTTTAATCCTTCCGTCAGGTAGCTTTTGTTATGTTACTCTTTATGTCAGTGTTAATTTGGATATCTTAATTTAATTCGGACGCTCAAAGACTTATAACGTAATACGCTGCGACCGCATGAAGAGACCATATCAAAATACTGGTACACAAATTTCAAACTTTCTGTAAACGCAAATCCCTACCAAGGAAAAATACAATAAATAAAAAATCTTAACTTCATAGACGTATGAAACCAGTAATTGCGTTTTTTTCCGCTTTCAGAGACGTGCCCACAACGCGAAAATATCTAGTTTTGCTTCCTTATTAACATTCTACACTGTACCACTGGTTTTTGCTTTTAATTGATTTAAATACGCGTCTTTAAGTTCCAGGCTGAGGGTGTGTGTATGTTAAAAAAATATTCAAATGATGTAATATGACTCCTCCGATGTAATTAGAACGGGGTAAAGGAAGAAAATAAACGAAGCAGCTTTGATGTCTACTGTACGATGACCCGTACAGCTGAAACGAGACCATTTCCCGCCCCCACGATCGCACAACGGTACAGTAATACCCCCGGGCGGCGAGACAAATATACATTGATCAACAACTGTTTTATCGCTAATCGGTAGCATTGTCGTTCTTTAACTCTTTTGATGTCTATCTGCCTTCTCTGGGGCCTGTAGTGCAGTTATTCAACCAAAACCACACTGGGGTCGCTAGCTGTCCCCTCAAATACACACTGTCCCTTTAACCGGAGAGGCGGCGCTATATACTACAGTGCAAACAAACTAGCGATAATGTTTAAATGGGAAATCACTTACTATATAGCTAAGGAATGTCCAAAACAATTTTATATTTCATAAATCATTTTGTGTTTTTTAGCGGTTTCGGTCGCTATGATTTTAATTACCACATTGTTTGGGGTCAATATACTGTTGTTACGAATTTACCTGTGAAATATATACCTGTATATAAGTCAATCAAAAGGTGTACAGGTGTAGTTCGCGCCATTCTATATTATGTATAGCTGTACTACACTATGTATACGATATATATGCGTCCGCACGTATGACCTGTTTAAATATTATGCATCAGAACTTCCACAGCGAACCAGAACGTCGATTCATGAAGAAAACGTCGAGTTGAATTGACCGTAACTGCCCAGGTTTTTTTTCATCGTTCGCGTAAAGCCACGTGCTATATATATTGCGGAGTGAGGAACCAATCGAATCGCGGTGTGTGGAGGAGAGTGTACACACAGCATAAGAATCGTACTGGATATTATGTTTGGTGTGAAAATGGAACTCCTTTCTAGTTTATTAGAGTTTAAAGCGACACGCCACTGCCAGGTACAACGCTCTTTAATACATACTGGACATCGGCTAGCGGTCAATTGTGACTGAGACGTCAGACCGGGAGGTCGACCCACATGGACCCTACAGAGCCGGATTACAAATTAGGATTATTTACTACAGATGCTGGGGAGGAACGGATAACATGTGTTTTGTGGCAATGGAGTTAACGTGAAGACGATTAAATGAATACAATGCTACACCAAAATGATACATTATTTATTGTTAATTCTCTTAAATACCATACAAATTGGTTTGTCAAACGAGGAGTCGAACCAAAGGGCTAAATGTAGGACCCAAGAAAATGTAAGTATGACTGTAATTCTATAACCAATAATACATACAAAGTTTTTTTCATTCATCGTATTTGTAAATTGGTGTTAACTGAATCAGAGTCAAGTCACGTTCAAGTCGGCTTTAAATCAGTTTATAGAAAAGACAACATCAAATTCAGGCCGTTTTTTCGGATTTGCCTAAGTTACATAGTTAAGAAATATTATTTGTATAAATGGAAGTAATTTATTGTGGACAAAAATGTAATATTTGATCAAATATCGAAGATTTTTGTTATAAATGGTAGACAATTTGTAAGGAAATGGAGTTGTTCTAACTCTGTTCATGAGCTTCCACACAAGTGACAGAAATATCAGATCTGAGCTTCAGAATGGATAGAACAGATATAGACAGAGCCCTGTTCTTTGGTGAGCAGTGTGCACTAGGATATCAACATCACTAGATGGTTGACCCCCCACTGATGTGTAATTATAGATAAGAGGACCCCTCTCACTGAGGGTCAGATGGCTGTAACTGGACTCCATTCCAAGCATGCCATTGACCTCAGAAATCAGTTCTAAAACCATAGTGCAAAATCACCTTCCTTGACTTTTTTTCCTGTTCAGCATTTTGAGAAATATATCTTGTGTACAATTATCACTTGGTGTGGTGTTAAATTGGGTAATTTGTAATCCAAATGTGAAAAAAAAAATCATTGATACAAATTAAATGATTTTCTGAAAAATTACTGTTGTGTATCTCTCGATCTTTGTGATATTTTGCTTCACATACAAACATATTACATTATTGTGGGCTATGATTGCTGAATAATAAGATACAAACATATTACATTATTTTGAGCTATGATTGCTGAATAATAAGAGCCTGATTTGAGGTCCGACAGCAGCATTACCCCTCGACACAGGGGTCAAACCTGTACCTACCACAGTTCAAACATTGTCAAATGGTCTAGACCTCTCTAAATCTTTGAAAGATATTCAGTTTGTAACTTTGGCTCAATTTAAGAATAATATATTTTAAGCAACATGATCAGCATTTTAAAACACATATAGTACTTCAAACAGACACGATAGAAATTAAGTTAGTAAACCTAATTATATCAAAATTTTCAAATAATCAGACGTCATGTTTTGGAGTTAAATTATGGTATACTATACACAGATTTATGTCAAATTTGTGCTGCAAAATGATTTTTTTGTTTCTATTTTTACATTTGAAAATGATATTTTTATCTCATGTAAATTAGTTGTGTGGTTTTATTTTTAATAATCCAATTTAAAGTCAATAATAAGATTATAATGTTGAGTCTTTTTCAAGGTATTATGGTCACAGATTAAATACCTTTATCCTTTAATACTGCCCTAAATACTATTAAAGCTGTCACATACCTCTATAATACAGGAGACATCCAACCATTAACACGGTTCATAGGATTTCAAAATACACCCGGAAATTGATATCCCTGTGTCAAATTATCTACGAAGCTTGTAAAATTTAGGGATAGTGTGAAAATTGATAGGTTTCCTTCATTAAACATATTGTCATCCATGGAAGGGGTTAACAAAAGTTGAAGTGGAGTATAACTGTCAACTTGAACATTTGTGATAGGCTGGGCATTGACAGTTAAACAAATATTTGTCAAAGATTGGAAAGAGAAGAAAACTAAGGGCTTTATGTTTCAAATGCCTTTGGGTAATGAAATACTAATTGATAAGAAATATCTTGCATGTTGATATCAATGATTTTTCTATATTAATGCATTATATAAGGGTATGACAAGAAGATTGAGGGTGGACGGGTGATGCAGTGGATAGCACTATTATAATTACCACCAAAACAGCCAGGCTCTGATTCCATGGTCGGAGACATAACATGCTTCTATGGTTTTATGCATCTCTGCTGTGAGCAAATATAATTTTAAAAAAAAATTGGGTCACCTTTCCAACCATTTCGGGTGTCTCTGGATAGTCCGGGTGTCTTCCATATTAAGACCCTCTGCATGCTTCCACGCAGGCCAACAAGACTGATTGATGTAAGTTTATGTTTCTTTAATTATTGTTGTAAAATATGTACAGTTTATTTATCGAACTTGCAAGTAATTAAGATTAATACGGTAATAATTTGTACTACAGTACTAGAAGGTATGCTTCGTGTCCGAAGTGCTGAAAACAATAATGGGACGTGGCTTTGTGGCAAGTCTGGGAGTCATAACTCCTTGTCTAGGTAATGCAAGAGTGATGAATTAGACTCTAAATAATTTTGATGTGTTAAGTGGCATATGAAAAGTTTTGTCCTGATGATAAAATACAGTCTGAGCCACACTTCATTGTTAAGTCTTGAGAATCGTTTTCATAAAAGGTGTAATATTTCATTGTGTTTCGTTTTAACAATGAGTAATAATTTAATGTCACAATACCATTTTTATTTTTATTTTTTTATCACATCATATGTAACCCAATCAAACGTTTAACACTATATAAAGTTGAAATTCCTCTGTATTATTTTATCACATCATATGTAACCCAATCAAACGTTTAACACTATATAAAGTTGAAATTCCTCTGAGAAAAGGTTCATATGCTATTAGGATTATGTTTGTCAAGAAACTTCACGATAATGTGGCTTTCAGAATTCACACTTTACTGATTGTGGTAAAATGTTAAAATGTTCACACCCCTTCCACCAGAATCATAAGGTCAGATCCATACAGATGTTTGTTTGCTGGGTCTGTGCTCACACACATGCAGTGTTCAGGCCAGGCATGTCCCAATGCCCCGAAAAATTGACTATAGATTCCTTTTCATATTTTATTATATTGTGTTGATTAAGGAAAAATTTCAAAGCAGAAGGTGCAGAGGGTAACCTTGCTCTAACTTTGCACCCATCTCGACGAAATACAATATCATTGGACAATAATAACGGGTTGGTCTGGTGGTACTGTGGGTTAGTTCATTTGCCATTCAGCAGGACCATGATGATGGCAGAGGTTTGATTCTCCGACATGATAAAGGTACGGGGTCACCTGCCGATCCACATGGGTTTTCAGTGGATACTCCGGGTTTCCTCCCACATTAAGACCCCCTTCATGGTGCTATCTTGGTTAACAAAAGTGATTAATATAAGTTGGGAATTGTGTTTTTTTAATATAAATTCAAACAAAATGGTGTGACGGGGTTAAAAAACAAGTTAATACCTGTATCTTTTAAAGCTTGTCCTGAGGTCTGTCACTAAAGACATTCTAAATAAATGAAACAACCTACTGATGGATAGTCCCAAAAAATCTGGCCCTTTAACTCCCTATGGATACTGAGTCAGGCTAAATTTTGGGCTCAGGTGCAGAAAAAACAGGTATTTTTTAAAGCATGGCCTGTTGTCTGTCACACACTAGCTACTCTAGGCTGGTATAGACATGAAAGCTAATATGGATTATTACAATGTGATATGGCCGTGTATAGTTTGTGATTATGAAAATTAAATCTTGTTGGACACACCTGGCTAACACTAAGGTCCAGGTAAAATATTTGCTTAAGTAAATGTTCTTAAATACCAGTGAATAGGAAGAATACAGCCCATAATCCTACACAGGTAAAACAAAATTATAATAAAAGAGGTCTGTGAAACATATTCCAAGAGGTGATTCTAAGACGAAACTATCGTATTTGAAAAAAACAAATGTGTCAATATTGTCCTGGTATTTTAGATATAAGTTAGGGAACAGTGAGTTGAATATTATTGATTGTCTTTAAATTAAATGCCATCATGATCATCTGATATTTATCACTAATACGTACACGACTGTAGGCTGATATGTTTTTTCAGTAGAATACTTGATCCTGTGGCCGATACTGTTATTACAAACTTCTCTTACATTGTGTATTGGCAAAAGTTAATGTGCGTGGAGTGTTTTACAAATAGCTGTAAATTAAACAATCTGTACGTCAGTAAACAATCTGACGACTAACATTGTTTATAATTATGTAGAGTTGGCAAGATCTCACAAAGATTATATTTTTTTTACCTCAATTTAGTTTTGTATTACTCTTTATATCAGAATAAATCAAATTTCTTGTACATGTAGATTTTGAACTGACCAAATACATTTTACAAAGGGTTTGTTATATAAATATTTTCATATGCATAAATTGGTTATATATGATTTTAAAGTTCTAGTAGACCAGAAACTGGCATAGGAGACTGATCGTGATATTTTACAGATTGGAAGTCTTGTGTTAGTTTTTATGGAGTTTCTTGTTTTCTGTTTCCTAATATTGTGTCTAGTACAAGGTTGATGTTGTTTTCCCTGTTTGTGGCATTTTCTGTATGCATGCTTAAACAACTCATTTTCTTTCACATTCATAATATTCCTTTACAATTAGAAAACTCGTGTTTTACTATTATGGTTTAATTGTCCCTAATTTCCATCTGAACCTCATAAAGTGATAGCCAACATATTTTAAGTCCCCTTTTCCTTATTCTGAGCTATTCCTTTTAACTCCCCCTTTGTATCATGTGATACCCTGTTATAACATCAACGACTTGCTGTACAATTGGTGACAGTATAACAAGTTCTTACTGTACTTTTAGAATTATTGGCACATATTATACATGTAAAGTCAGCCCTGTTTTTGAAAGACCAATGTTAACTCTGCTGAGAGATCAGATCACCTGTGTTAAGAGACCGTTCCATCTTTAATTGTGACTAGCTTGGCTGTTGTGAAGACACAAAATCCTGAACCTATATTAAGTCATTCACCCTTGAAATTTCATAATAAACTATTCCAACCTTTAATTTGGAAGAGTTCAAGTATGTCTTTAGGGGTGAATGAGTTAAGAGACCACCTGCAATAAGAGACCTCTTAATGGACCTAATGAAGGTGGATGATGTAATAACCGAAGTTCATAGAGGTAATGATATCATACTCTTTCTGTTATTGGGTTTTGTAGGACTGTTCAGACGAATCCTGCATCAGTTAATTTTTGAGGTTGTTGTTAAGTCCCACCACAAAGATTAA